TGACAATTTTTTTGTTGCATAGTAATCATGAAATGGTCAGTTATCTACGCATGCTATAGAAATTTGAATTTTAACAAACGACGATGCAGGAGTACCATTGTTTAGGTTTCTCATTGTTTTCAGTGTATACTACGCTCCTCTTTTCTAGTCAACTCAGTCGTCATCTTGGTTTATAATGAGTAATATGGTCACAAGACTGATAACTACGGTGAATTGCAACTTGTAATCGGCAGATTTCATAGCTAAATAAATATGATGATATCTAAAGTCTGACAAAAATCAAGTTTTTACTTCAGAAGACAACTCTGTTTAAACATTTAGTCCAGTGACTTAAAGATAGTACACTTGTTAGGAAAATATGCTTTCATGGCTGTTGTTTTGACAAAGTTGAATCCCACTATCACGTAACGAAATTTGATGCGCCAAAAACTGGTAATTACCTCTACATGCTAAAGACTATCAAAGGGTGATGAAGCGAACATTTGTACGCGCCTAAACACCGTCGGGTTTTCTTAAACCCAGTCTCCTTAGTCTCTGTTTGACTATGGCCTCAAGGATCATAAATACTGCATTTTCCAAGCCTTACGTCTTGGGTATACACCAGTTTTGCACTGATCTAGTCAACAGTTAATCACTATTGGGCACTTTTAGGGTTTAAGCGTCATGGTCCGCTACTCTGCCTCATTTTAGATTATTGAAACTTTCTCAGCCTAAGCTGTGGATGAAGAACCGACGTTTACATTCAGGATAAGCTTCGGTGATAGGCAACCGCAGTGTGGATGCAAACCAGCTAATTTCCTTGTTAAAGAGTTCCACTGAAGGACCCAGCAGTCTTGACCGAGAAGTTAGAAAATCCTATCCTTCTCGTAGGTTGTTTCAGTTAAAATAGGTTAATAGTAATATGGAGGTTTTTTCATTCCCTTAAATTCAGAATAACATGAGATATAAAATGTATTTATCGGTTATCGGCTAGACTGGTTACTTTTAGTAGTCCCATTTGTATAACTACTAGATTAATCTCAATGACTTTGTATTTGTGTACAGTTTATTGAAATCAGCTGAGTGAAAGTGTTATTGGAATTTAAAGGTGATTGAAAGTGCTGCGGCCTTCATACTGTAACTATCTCGAATAAATTCTTGGGTGATGTTGTGAAATATCAGATAAAATGTTCAGTTGCCTTTAGAACACCAATCACTCGTGCAGAATATTCTATGAAATAAAGAAAATTGGGCGAGGGGAAAACCTTTGTTCTAGGTTACAATTCCATTGTTGGTACGCATTCTCATCTCCGAAAGCTGAAAAGAACTTTGTTTTTTACACAACCCTTGTTATGCTTTGATTCTTTATAGTTGTAGCTTATTCTTTAGGCACTCAGATTACAACTTAGGTCTTGAGTACTGTTTCGGTTTGAACAGCAAGTCTATATACCCCACGTATAGCCTGTGAAATCAAACATAACTGTCTGTCATCATCTAATGAACCGTTGTTGGTATCTGATATCTTAATAGCACAATCTTGCACTACACTTGTGAAATATAACCTCTTAAATTTTTAATTATACGTAGCTGTTATAATTCAGTTTCTTTTTATCGCCGAAAACAACGTAGTTGACGCAATTAACAAACCATAAATATCAAGTAGTTGTGGCTACATAGTAAGAATGAAAAGCTATTTATGTGCAGAACCTCGTCGAACTAATTTTATGTAGCGTATAACAAAGCAGTAGTAGTAGTTAAAATAATCTGTTTAGTAAGCGTGTTGGTTATTCATTATGTTCTCCGAATACTTTTCTAGCCGACATCCTATTTTAGTAGAGCAGAGTTCACGATAATGTGGAAAAACTGCTTAACTTTTAAAAGCTTTAATCTTGTTCATAAGGTAACACACCGATTCTGAAAAAACTATTAATAGATAAAAGTTATCTCTTTGAACATCAATACAACATAATCGCTTTGTAGTTATTGGAAGTGAAATATTAAATGGAAAAGTAAAAGACACGAACTCACGTCTTATTTGCCGAACAGTACCCTTACTAGGCCTACAACTTCGAAAGGTAACTAGGAAACATAGACTAACATTTCCTTCTAGATTTCTGTAATTCCAGATGACGTTAGGACTATTGCCGATGAAGTCTGTAGTCAAATGAAGCAGTACGATTATGTTATAACATCTGGAGGCATAGGTTCCACTCACGACGATGTGACTTATGAAGGTAAGCTTACAACCACTACTACTTACTAATCCTTAGGAATTGCGAAAGCTCTTAACGAAAATGTTGTCACTCATTCGGAATTTTTTCAAACATTGAGGTATTTATCTGAACCTGACGTAGTACTCCCTTCTGATCCTATAACGAAACTTGCCAAAATACCGGAATCGTCAGAGTTGTTATATGGGACGCGTGTTCAGATAGGAAGTGAAAAGTCATATCCTGTTGTAAAAGTGAAAAACGTTTTTATTCTACCTGGAGTTCCTCGCTTATTCAATCTAGCGTTGGAAATAATAAAGGTAAACATAATTATACAGCAGTATTTTATTTACATGAAAGAATCTCTGGCATCTAAAGTGAAACCAGATCTCTGTATTATATAAGTAGCGGCTTTAACTGCGGATTCAAGCGAAGAAACAATAGGTCTACTTAGTATGTGTTCTGCAATGAAACCAGCAGCAAAGGCATCTCCAGCACCGTTTGTGTCGACAATTTGACTAGAATCCACTGCCTTGACAGGAAACTCATGAACTTTCATGTCCAAAGAATTAACATACACCACGGGATGTTTGCCTCGTGTGATAATAACTAGACGACTTCTTTTCATTCTGGTAGCTAAAGGTCTGCTGGCTATATGCTGGGCCACTGCATATACTGTTATGTTTGGGAGGTTGTGAGCTTCTCCATATGCTTCCGCTTCAGATTCGTTCCCAAAAACAATACCTGCATGTGATATCATTTCATCTACTTCTTTAGTGTAGAACTTGGGTATAAAAGGTGCGCTAAGATTGAAGCAAAACAACTTGCCGAAAGTCGTTGCATGTTTAGCCACTTCAAGCATACCTTCGTAACAGGCAGATATAACATAACCCTTAAAAATAATGATAAAGTACTGGACAGACTTACAGCAATATAGAATACTCGTGCTCTTTCCACTAGACTCCACACACTTGGCTGTTTAACATGCTGTACAGTAAGATCACATGCTGCTCCCAAGTAGGTAACAATGCTACGATTTTTTCCATTGATTAGAACTGCTACTTTTCCAGTCTCCAACGGCTTCCTTGTTCTTTGAAATTGTGTTTCTAGTCCTAGCTCTCGACATTCTGCTTCAATACGATCACCCATCCGGTCGGCACCTATGCATCCGACAAATGAGCATGAAAATGGTTTTCTCAATATCCATTGGATCATTTTAACAGTATTTAACGTCGATCCTCCTGCAACATATTTTACGTCAGGTTTTTTCATAAGTTCTGCGTAGATGCTCATGTGCTTGTCTTCAGCTAAAATCGCATCATCAACATTCAGTCCGTAAGATTTATAAGTGCCTTCATCCGCTTTCCATAGCATGTCCAATAGAGGATTCCCCATACCAAAAAGGTATCCCTCGGACACCTCATCCATTTCTTTCAAATTTTTCACAACTGAGCATTAACGCATGTGCCGATTATTATAGCAGAAATTTCAGCCAATAGTAGCATGATTTCCGTCCGTGTGATTTGATTGGTCACCTGAAGGTTATGTGTTTGTTTATAATTGGTAGTTAGAATACATGAGAAAACATTGGACCAGCGGTCTGGCATTGATGAAACGATGTTAGTTGCAGGTAAAATGAGAATTTCGTCCGACACATTTGTCGAGACAGGTATCTAGATTGCAGTCAATGGGTTTTTCCGTATAAACCAGTCACATGAAAGCAATTGATATGGTCAAAACGACAAAGATTTGTTGCACAGATTCAATTTCTATCGAAGTTTTCACGAAATTTCACTTTGTTTGATTTCGTGCGATATGTTTGTAAGAATCTGAGTTGACTTTCAGTTTAGGAAACTGAAAACCACTGTATCGCAAGAAAATAAATCGAAACGGGTGAAGAATATTATTTCAATAAGTCCTTTATCATGTCCTATATTATAAATTTAAGTCAGACTACAATAATTAGCAGGTAGGAAAGTCATATCATAGGCCTCCAAGTTTATTGACCTTCATGGACCAATCAGAATGGAAAGACACGAAATGTGTAACACGAGGTAGTTTTCATTAGCATGTTTTATAAGAATAGTCTAGATTGCCATTACAAACACTTAGGAATAATAATAATCAGCCATAGCATATCATGGCTAATACTTTTTTGGTCAACGTTTCGACAGTCTGGTAAATCCTTCAGAGTTACACACGCTCTTTTGTGTCTTAAATATCTGTGTTTTCTATCGAGTGTACTACAAACACACTTCAAATGCAATATGAATACGAGATTGTAAGTAGATTAAGAATATTTGGTTACAGGATTTCATCATGAGCTGGCATTGGTTAAAGAATCATTGGAAAACCTGAGAGTACTGGACAGCTGTTTCGTCCTAGTTTGGGGCTCTTCATCAGTACGCATCCGCCGTGCCCTAATTAATTGAATAAAATTATAAATAGTATCAAACGAATAGATTTTCATCAAAATAAAGTTTTGAATGGCCCGAGGAAAGCAGCTTTCGTCACTTGTTTGGTTCCAATCTGATTGGTTAGAAAATCAGCGATTTGTGCGCAATCATGTTATTACTCCACGGGATGTTTGAAACGAAACCACTCATAAAATAATGAATAATGTTAGTAAGGTTGTCACTGTACACTGACTGGACGGAAAATTCTATATTCGACAGGTTTATATAGTGTAACATACTGTGATACAACATGTGTAATTAGATGTTGTTTCCAGCATAATTTATTACTAATCATATCAAATATGACCGTAATACTCCGAAACTCGATTTTTGTAGGTCGACAGACTTGACAAAACACGGAAAGATGACCACATCAAACAGAGGGAGTTGATGTGATTATGAGCAATAATTTGTGCCGGAAACGTCATCTAGTTATTAATACTGTATGTTATGTCAAACAGACTTATTTAATGTGTAATGATATTCAACCATTGCTTTAACTCGACGAAGGATTTAGAATCTTGTTAGAATAAGGAAGAAGACGATTATGCAATAAGGTGGTTTTTAGGAATTTAGAAACAGTATCAAAGCTAGTTATGACGCTGAGGATGGCTAAAACGTCAACATACATATTCCAGAAGTTTGTTTATTTTCGGCTAAATCACTTATACAGCCACAGCTTCAGTATGTTAATACTATACAGGCTCTGTGTAATAGTACCTCTATACTTCGTTGTGCATCTCAGTGAAAGACCTTTTCGTTTATAACAGTAGTTTAGTCCTTTGATTTTCAAGACAAATGTCACTACCTATCACTGAATATTTAGGGATAAATTTGATGCACTTAAAGCCGAAAATCTTGTTTTGAACTCCACTTAGACTGGAATATTGATCCAATTCTCAACTAAGAAAAAGTCCACTAATCAAAGATTATACACAGCAAGAAGTTGTGCTTTAAGTATATGTTTAGATAAACCTTGAAACAACCACATATTGAATCATTTCAGGGGTTTTGCTGAACGTATCTGAAGTTTTCATACAAGTTGCACACCATGTTGTCGTGATTGGCTGAAAAACTGAATAAGAACATCTGATGGCACCCCGAAACGACATGATGTATAGTGATTTACATGAGTTCATGTACAAGATACTGCCATAAGAAACTGGAAGCCACTTTTACATTTTACGGTGGATCCGCTGTTTAATATTTCTGCATTTTGCTTACAGAAATATTTCAATTTCTCTCTAAATTTGCCTTCGTAACCTGGTTGGTTATTTCCAGGTTGTTAGTGTAGCCGCTTACTTCGAACTGGCTAGTTTATCGGAACTTAGAAATTTTTACTTCGCTTTCAATTATTCAGTTTTTGTGTATCTCCGACTTCAGTGTATTCGTCTTTTATGTTTCCGTATTTTAGTTAGCTTCAGTTTTATTTCTGTTATTAACATTCTTCGTGAAGATTTTAAAGGACACACTACCTACAAATATTTATCATATTCTGTAATTTGCTTTCCAAATATCACATGGTGTGTCTTCATATAAGCATATGGTGTATCTGTTACAGGACCATATTCGAGATCCATGTGTGAAATTTTTTCATCATTCGTTGTATATTACTGCTGAGGAAACCAAAATAGCTAAACGTCTATCTGAATTAGCCGAAAAATACGAAGGTTCAGTCAGTATTGGATCGTATCCTGCATTTAACAACAGGTTAGCCAGTTTACCTTGGTTTTGAATCTGTTTTAGTATGTATTGGTTTTGTATTGTGTCAAGTGTTTGGATGAAAACACTTGTTCGGATGATACTGTCTTATTTGTGAGATTTATTCTAGAATAAATTGTTATCTTCCTATTTGTGTTAGTAGTCCTCATACCTCAACATTTCAACTGAAAACGAAATAAGTTACTTTTCATGCATTTTGCTAAAAATAATGACAACTAGATATTCGTTATTTTTGTTTGTCATTACACAGCTAATTGTGTCCAAATCTTAGTTCATTCATAATCCTGCATAAATATATTTAACATTTTGATTATAGCTTGAAACCACACAGTATTTTTGGTACAAGTATGGAATTTTCAGCATGTGATATCGGTAGCCCAAATTTTGCAGGCCGACCATTAATATCGGGTGTGCGCCGGCAGGGGATCGAACCCCGGACCATGTGCATGGTCGGCGAGAGTCCTAACCGCTGTGCCACCGACGCACTATAAAGTGTTTAGTAATATGCTTTATATCATCAATCGTTATTTGCCTTTCACAATTATACGATTATCAATCTTGCTAATAGAAATATATAAACGCTAAGTAATTATAGTGCACTTCACCGAATAATAAGTCTGTCACTTAGTTATTTAGCATTTTATCAATTCAAACACCTAGTGTATTTAAAACAAAAATTAAATGTAATAATAGTACTTATAATGTTAAATGTAAATTATGCTAATATGCTAACAATTTATAGTATAATTAGTAGTAAAGATGTTGTTCAAACTAAATCTTCAAGTTACCGTGCTACCTTTTATAAAACGTGCGTTGAAATTGTTGTTACTTAATTTTATCATTTTAACCAAATGAAGTTTGTCCTTGACATAACTATCCTATGGTTGGATCATGGCTTTTGAAAGTCACGAATGTTAAAAGGTCATTTTATGGTTTATGCATTGTACCTTAAGTGTTTAAAAGTTAACCTATTTGAAAGATATTTAATAAAATGTAATTTGTAAGTACAAATTCTGGTTGGGTTTTTTTTTTCAAAAAAAAATATTTTTATGCTGTTGTATTTTCCTAATCCTTAAAGTTCATTCATATTGTATTTTAATCTGTGTGAAGTACATTAAACACTAAGCAATTTAGTAACACATTTCATTATCTTTATTTATAGTGTAGACAGATAGACCTTTAATGTATGTAGATAGACAAACATGTCTACTTAGAAAACCATACAAAAGTCTGTCAGTTGAATTACCTAAACTGCATAACAGCATCGAAAAAAAAGAACACAAGCAGAATTAGATTATCATAAAAATAAACAAAATAGAATATTAGAGAAAGAACCATTAAAAGGAAGTTCGCGTAGAATTTTCAAAACTTCACTCAGTAGCATAAGTGATACATTTTTCATATATTCGACATTAAAGTATGGACTGGAAAATTTCTTATAAAGTACTTATTTAGATGACTTCAGTGTTTTCGCTAGTCTGTGACAGCTAATCAAACTTTCTAGTCATATCTAGGCTTAAAAAATTAAACGGATAAAGTTATATTTTCATGATTTTATGCTGTTATAATATAAGGTCTGTTGTATCAAGAATTCTTCATTTTCACCTGTGTTCAAGTGGCGCTCATTCAAAATGGGAGTATTTAGGATGTGCCATATCTTCATGCCAAATATTGGGTACATTTATACTATTGTGTGCGTCGGTGGCATTGCAGTTAGGACGCTCGCCAACCATGCACATGGTCCGGAGTTCGATCCCCGGTCGACGGGTTTTATGCCATGTCATCAGGAGTCTTCAATCATTGGACAATTTAAAGTGTTCACCTTTTATTAAAGCAAGATAAAAAATAGACTGTCTGACTGATATTTGGTATTTTGTTATGGACGATGAATTAATATTCTGATGACGCTTTATTCACAAATATTTTGAAAAAATTAATCTGATATGACACTTAATGTGTGTGTAAAACTTGGGTACTATGGTGGTATGTAATTTCATTGGATATATCGCAAACACTCAACGACGTTTCGAACACAATTTATTGTTCATAAGTGTTATGATTATGAACAATAAATTTTCGTCTAATTGGTATCCCGTGAAAAATGCTGTTTCACAATGATGTGACACTGACTTTACTATACTTATGTGAATATCAAAGTATATTTCATTGGCTAAGATTTTACATAAAATGGAGTATTTAATTCAGTTTAGATTTTCCCGTCGATTGATTAGACTGAAGTGTTCGGTCTCAGATTGATAACGCTTTGGCTTTTGAGACTATGGGCACTGGGTTCAAGTCTCAGTGGAGACACCAACACTCATTGGGGGATGCAAGTAAGTGCAGATGACGAGTCCAAAATGGGGGCGAAACGAGCATTAGAAAACTCTCTTCAGGAACCTGGAATTCAATGGTGACATTGAAGCTGAAATTCTTAGAAACTGCCTTTCTAAATGTTTGAAGAAGACATTTCAAGCAGCCACCTTACTCATCACACTCTCCAGCAAACAGTTAACCCAGTCTAACGTTAAGGATGAGATACAGTTTTTGGCCACCTCAATGTGTATTTATCAATTTACTTACTCGTGTTGAGTAAAGTATATCGGCCGTACGCAACGTCAGGTCCATGAACGTATTCCGGAACATTGTTCAGCTTGGTTAGGCAGAGGAAAAAAGAAGAATAGTAGTAGCTCCATCCTCGATCACCTTATCATCTCTGGACATCGAGCACCCCCGCATGAATGCTTTACATTGCTACACAGAGTCCTTCAATATCGTACGAAGGGACTTCGCATACGCCATCTGTACATAGCTGAATCATTAGCTATTCGGGATCGGAAACCGGACCTCGACATACAAACACGGCCTACCGTGGCCAGAGTAACGCCCTTACTGTAATTTTGCTTTTTTTTAATTATGTAATTTCACTATTATTATTGTCATTATTATTATTTTTAATATTATTATTTTAATATCACTATTATTCCCATCATCTATATTTTATTATCACTCTATTACTGTTTATTAATAACTACGTTTTCATACCGTCTTTATATAAAAACACTTTATCATCTTTCCACTTATTACGTCATGCCAACTTCTGCCTCTTTTCAACTTCCAACTAGTCGCCCTTTCTAGGTTACATCATACATTACGTAATACATTTCTCGAGAACAAATTTTGCCAGTATCTGATTGGTTTTATGATTTCTTTGTTAAATATATTACGATTGTATAGCTTATGAAGATGAATCATCAAAGAGGAAATTTCCTTCGCTATTTACGTCTTTTGCTTATGATTCAATGTGGGAATATTTCGTTCATTTTTCAATTCACCAAATATATCAGTGAATAAATCAAGCAGTATTTATTCTTGAATATAATAACTTTGCTCCGCTTTTTCTTTATAAGCCATTCATTCATATCCCAAAGTTTGTATTACTTTTAGGTAGTTATATATTATTTGAGGTGAATGGTTGAATTATGAATCCTCAGTTGTCCTTCTGGACCATGTTTCCGGTACTATGTTTACTGTGCGATGAATTTCCTAGATTTGCTACAGATATCAGTATTTTGTGGTTATAGGTACGATGGCGTGACGTATTTCTTTTTGGCTGTCTTTATTCACTCTCGATGAGGTGAATTGTTATGGTCCTGTCGCCAATTGATATGATCTCTTCGACAGTTGATATAATCGAGTGGACTAATGCGTGGGTCAAATAATTCTCATGCAAGAAGTAACCCAACTGAAAAGCTGAATACATCTATTCATCCGTAGTCCCTTCCGCTTCATTGAGCCATGTAAATATCATAAGATAAAGACTAGTCTGTGACTGTTAGGATACTATTTCACTAGGAAATAAACACGTCGCATTTATATATTTTCTAACCACATTAAAATCAGCCCAAGACAGTAGAAATAGGTTAATCCAATTGATAAGCGATTCATCTAAGGAAGGCGGGAAATAAATATTCTGATTGGCTGGCGATTTGACCAAGGTGAGAAAAAGATGATGAAATTTTAGTCATCCTATCACACGATGAATCACTATTTTAAGCTGATTCCTATCATAATTTTAGGGCAGCGAAGAAATCTGTTTGGTTAGGTCAACAATATTATAGTTTGTTTCTTTTTGGAGGAGCTGCGTTTTCCATTTTTGACAACGATTATTTTAAAGAAATTGTCCTAGTATTTTCTCAGTAGGTTTGTTTGTAATCTTGGTCAACCTTTCTCTGTTAAGTCTAGTGTTTAAATCAACTTACAGTTAACAGACATGTTGATCACTTAATAAAGAGTGAGTAACACTATGTAAAGGTCAAGTATCGGGTCACCGAGGCGATTAATACCATCATAAAAATCTCAGACACAGCCAATTATAGTGAAGGTCACCGGAGAAAAATAGGATATTTCATCTATGGGAACTTCACTTCTATTAAAGTTAGCGTTGAAAGCGTAGAGAAAGATAATGAAAGATCTGCAACTGAAACAACCAGCCCAGTGGACATAATATCATCATAAACATTCATCTCAGCTATGAATCTTCATCATTTACAGAACTGGTAAAACACAAGTTATATGTACCTTAAATCTATAGTGCAGAATCTGTTTGCATTTAGTTGAAAACTCAGTTCTTTTGTCTCTTTCAAACACTGCCATTTGATGACGCGTAATATAATGCCTATCAGAGAAGTCTTGTTTTCTGTGATCATCACTCCAACTCCAACATCCAATCACTAAGATCATCTCGACAACAAACCTTATGCTTTACGAAGCAGAATATAAATTCTGCGAATTATTATCCGTTTCAAATTGTCGATCCTCTACTCTAAGTAGTACACTGTAATTCGAGGATTTGAATTCATAACCAAGGTGATTCACTTAAGAGGAGGCTGGATCATCCTTTAGGGAGTACATCCCTCAACCTTCGAGTGTTTTTGTGGAGCTAGGTATATTGGCCTTTCGGTTTGAATACTGTTCGGAAGAGTTCAATAATGCTACTTTCTTCACTACCCGCTATTTTACATGTCTTGAAAAGGGATAAGCACATACACTCATATTCATATTTGTCTATGTAAATGAAGCGTTATCTATAGAATTTGTCCTCTTATCTCTGTTCATATTGATTTTACTGAGCAGATTATTTCTTAACAATACTGAGTATTTCATCATTGAAATAAATTTATATTGGCTACTGTATAGTTTCTTCTGTTACCTCGTCAATCTTGTACGAATTTAGGTGGCATATTCAGCGAACTTCTTAATTTATTACCAGTAATTTCTATGCTAACTAAATGAATCTCTAATTTAATACATGTTAGGTAACTTTTAGGACGTAGAGCAGTTTATCAATTAAGAGATATTTTTTGAATTTATTCCTTAATAGTTACTATCGTGTTCGAATAACCTTTGACTCCCTTGATGAAAATACTGTGAAAGTTGCCTATGAAGAAGCAAAAAGTTTATTTGAAGAATGTAAGTTATTTATTTTTCATTCATTATTTTATTGAAGTGTTAGTATTTTTTTATGATGAATCCGTTGTCATGATATAGTCCAAAACAATCTTTTATGAATAAATAGGAACAAGCGAAATTTTTGAATGTATCGCGATATGTGTGGTTTCATAGGTATTATTGGTCTGTGACAAACCTAAACATTTAAATAAATATATGAATAGTTTCTGTTGAGTTGCAGTAAAATAGACTTAGCCGCCATTATAATTATAGAAATACTGTCTGCAGTTGTTCTTATTTCCCGCAAATTCAGTTAAAAGTTACCAGAGATTTAGTCACTCGCAATCGTATAGTTTCAAAGTCAGTGAAGCTGCCCGAAATTTCTATTTCATTACACAAGGTCGTTTAGTTGCTACCTATAGATACATATACATTTTTTTGTCATTCATCGTCAACTGGAGAGTGAAAGAATTTCTGTCGTCTTAGGATGTTAGTGATTGAATTATATCAAGCTCATATTATCTAACCTTCGAATCCGATATCTTGTATACACCTACAAGTTCTGGTAAATTTAAACAAGAATTCAACTATGCAGCATAGTGATTAGTAGATCACGTCTTGAACCCAACTGCTAATTGAATCACTGAACCGCTTGAAGATCCAAAGGATTTCCCTCCGGTAGTCATTAAGTGCCCTCTGAGTCCTCATTTGTTTTAAAGAATACTAAATTAAGAGTTTGACGACAGAGGGTAAGAAAGCTTTTTAGGTCATTCAAGTTCATAAGTATAATCTGCTGAGGTTTCTTGAAGGCTTCAGACTTCATAGTATTGTTTGGTTTGGCTTGTATTTGGTGGTGATTCAATGTTATCGACTTATTATACTTTACTTGGGGCATTAAGGTTGCCTACAGTTTTCATTTAAGTACTTGACAGAAGAGTAACATTACTAGTGTCAATGTACACAGATAAAATTAAGATATTTTAAATCCTTAACATTTGGTAATCCCAATATGAGAGTAAATAGCTTTTCACTCCCTACAATATACACATTCTTTAATTTTATTTTCAGGTGTCGTTGTGTATAATCCAGACCCAATCAGTAGAGCTGATTATGAAGTATACAAATTATCCGAACACAAAGACACGAGTTTAGGTAATCGTGTATCTGAGTCTATAAAGATTATCGAAGAAGCACTAGACAAGTACAGGTATACTTTTTTTTTATAAATAAAATACGGATCATTCATTTTATAAACGGATATAATAGTGAAGAATATTTTAATGTACTATAGCATATTTCACTTTCTAATGTTTTATTACAATTAACGTTGTAATTTTGTTGCATATTATAATGTTTTGAAATGTTTTTGTGCATAATTTCAAAAAATTCAATGAACTTTTATAAATATGGAATAGGTGTAGGAAGTATATTATCTGCATGCCTGTTATTTACAGAGTTTTGACCGGATAAGAAATCTAAACATTGTTTTCTGTTATTTCCGTATATACTGGTTATTTCCTTGAGTAGAATGCACTCATATGTATCAATTTCTCATAAAAGGTGAATTTAAATATTCGCAGGAATTTGCATGTTTAACCGAAATGATGTTGCGTATTGTTTATTTATACTTATAATTTCCTGTAGTTGTGATTTGACCGGAATCAATTAATTTGTCCTTGTTGACATATAGACTTCTCAAGCAGCGGCTCAGATGTTACTTCTTTTTGTGTTATTTTGATATTATTTGTTATATGGTGTCCAGTGGTGAAATGTAAGACAAGCATTTTGTTCTGTTTAGAACTTGTCTACCAGATGTGCACATATTTCAATGACGGATGGTGTCCTTACTAAGACTCATATTCTACAATGTTCGTTTCATGTGCACCTACTGAATCCCACATTCAAGTTACTACGAATGCATTCATTCAAAGAACACTGTCACTTTGTTCCATTAGAATCTATGGAAAACTAGGGGTACAAACTATAATGAAATAATAGAAAATTATTTTATCTCAGTAGCCTAATAGATGACTTTAATGTTTAAATACACCAGTATTAGGATGTACACACGCTTAGTTGACCGGGTCTAATTGAAAGGCGTTGTGAATTCCAGATTCTACTGTTGGCTACCATTAAAACAAATGAAAAGTTATGCAATTTTTATGTATCAACTAATTTTTTATTTGTCATTATGTGTGCAAGATAGAGATATCTACAGCTCTGTTGTAAGTGCTGCAACTGAATTACCACATTTTTTGAAATACTAGAATTTGTGACTAATGAACTGCGAATCTTCATACTTAATTCTTGTGTGTTTTCCTATAATGTGTTTGTGATACAACTTACTCTGCGAGATTTATTCACGAAGATCGATTCTGTAAACTTTGTGTAAGTTATAATTTGGTGGTAAACTGTCATAGCCGTTGGATGACTTTGGAACTTATTATTAACTGATAGCTGATACCCTAACGTGATGGTCGGTATCAGGTATCGCTATGGCTCAACGAGCTACACTGGCTGAATAGAATATGCCTACATATATCATGATTCTAGAAAGTTCGTTCGGATAGATGTTAGACTAAATGCAGTTACCGCTGTAGTGTTAGTCGTTTACATAACGTTGGTAGTCTGAGGACGAAATTGTACTGCTAGCAAGTGAGGGCTCAGTATCAGCAGGGTGATCCCCTGAGGTTACCAGCAAATACATTGATATACAAAATAAATAGGAGAGTTCCGAGTACAATGCCTTGTGGCACTTTGTTACCTACTGCTGTCCAGGAGGAAAGTTTTGAGTTGATCCAGACTCGTTGTCTCCTGCTTATGAGGAATTCCCTAATCCAGCTTAGTAAGCCCCCTTTGATTCCGAGACTTTCCAGTTTCGTGAGCAGTCTTTTCTGAGCCACTTTATCAAAGGCCTTACTGAAGTCCATGAAGACGACGTCGACGGGTCTTCTGTTGTCCTTTGACTTGACCCAGCTTTCTCTTGCTGTAGGAAGGTTTGACAAGCACGAGAGGTTTCCTCGAAAGCCATGATGTACTCTGGACTACAAGCTGTTGTTTTCCAGATATGCCATGATAGCTTTCCTGATGATCCTTTCCAGTATCTTGATTAAGGGTGCTGGTGAGACTAATAGGCCTGTAATTTAAAGGGTTTTGTCTTGATTCCCCTTTGTGGATGGGGGTTACTATGGCGTGGTAAAGGTATGCATCGGCTGAGGATCGAACTCCGGAATACCTGCTCGATGGGCCAGTGTTCTACCACTAAGCCACCGACGCACTACATTTACGTCTGAGTGATTTACGAATCTCTCGATTTATCCATGAGGGACAATGTTTCGAACCTTTTGGAACAGAACAAAGGATGAAAGGTTCGGTTACCTGAGCGTAAAGTGGCTTAAATTCATTCCATGTGGCTTCTACATGGGACTACGGATTTGTATAATAGTTCAGTGAATAGACTGTTGAGACGATAGCACTTATATCGGCTTTCTAAACGTTTGGTAGATCTGGGGTTTTGGTCCATGATACTGCTTCTGTGAACTTGGTAGGGAGTAAAGCGTAATCACTTCTTCCTTAAGGAATAAGATGTTGTATGAGGTCCACATCCTCACCATGGGAGAACACCAGGCCCAGGGTTGGAGCGGAGTGCTGTGAGTCATAACACGTGGACTTCATGACATGTTCAACTAGCACTAGCGAAATACTAGATTTCAGCAGTTAATAGTCAAAGGAGTTGTCTGAAGATGACAATATAAGGCCCGCCCAGTCAACTGTTAAGGCATTGAAGTTGCCGACTACGAGACTGTGACATTTAGGTGTCCAGGAGTCTAACTTCTCCATTAGGAAGTCGCCTGCATTGCAGTTAGGATTGCTGTATATAGCAATGAGGTCAATACCTCGGCCTATGTTTTTAAATCTGCACAATAGAAGTTCGCACTTTACACTTTCGTGTGCGAAAGCTTCAATGTTACACATGGTTAGGCATTTTTTGAGGTGGATAACTATGGCTTTATTCACATAATGGTACACCCAATGGCTTGTCATTAGTTTTCAGGATAACCGAACACACCTATCCTTACCTCTTGCGAGACGAGATCAACATGCAGTATCATCCTGTGGTGCAACCACTCGCGAGCCCTCTCCCTCGGTGGACCAGTCAGTAATAGTGAGGTTGCGATACCAGTAATAACTAGGAAGGAAAAATCAGTAGATAACGTTGTGAAGCTATCTCGATTCAGATGACTAGAACACGTGTTGCGCATACAGAGTCTCTGCGTTCCTCCTTGAGAAATGTGAGCTGACAGGATTAAGTTTAAAAAGGATTATAGGACGTCAGATCATATATATATATATTCACTCTTTGTTATCTTCCAGATTCACTGAATACCAATTTTTCTTCATCTAATTGTTATTTATTCTGCCACATTTTATTTTTATTAAAAACGCTTTAATTCTTTTTCACTGTTTTTTATGTCTGCTTCTGTGAAGCGCGGCGGTAGCTTGAACTTCTGTACTTCTTTTGTGTAAAATTCTACGCTGAAAATTCAATTCATTTTTTATTAGCGATATATGTAGTATGAGCTTATTTAGACGAAAGCATAGTTATTATGTATGTTTATTAAATAAGAGAAGTCTATAAAACAAGGTATCAATTAAGACATTCTTGAATCGTAAGATATTTATTATTATTATTTTTTAAATAGTTTATCTTAACAAATTTCTGACTCATTAAATGTTATTGTTGATTTGTACTTATTATAAACAGATTGTGTTAGTTAATCCAAGCTAAGTGCATTTGTCTGTGTGTGTGTGTACGTTTTCATTTACTACCACAAGTATTTAGAGAAGACCTAAATTACTATGCTGATAAAGATATTTCATGGTTGAAGATAATATTTTTTTCTGTTGTACAACAATTCTCTGAGATTTGTTGCACTTTATAATTTCCTGAGTTATCGAATATTTAGTGTAGGATTACTAGTATTTCCCTGTAATGGTTTCCGTTATTCACAAGGGTTGGATGACGTATAAAAGAAATTATCAGTTTATAGTAAGTCTTTTCTGCGAAAACTGGTATCATGATAGGGTTGAACTTATCTGAATTGCTACAGTTGAGGAAATTAATTTAATTTTTTTAATTTTTGATTTACAGCTTGATTCCACACCGTATTTTCAGTACAAGTGTGGAATTTTCAGCATGGATATCGGTAGCCCAAATTCAGGCCGACCATAGATATCGGGTGTGCGCCGGCAGGGGATCGAACCCCGGACCATGTGCATGGTCGGCGAGAGTCCTAACCACTGTGCCACCTTACTTGTTTTGTTTTTTATGGGTGTAAGCATGATACCTTCTCAAGGAGTTTTACTGTTTTAAGTATTCGACTTGAGAAGATTTTTTTTCTCATCAAAGTGGCTCTAGTGAAGTTTTAAAGGCTGAGGGTGTTGGTGTTCATGGATAGTACGATGTAAACTTACTCAAGATCTTATACTCACGACTTCTGTACTATTCGTCCTCGTAAAACAAAGAAAATGAAAAACACCAAATTGATCGTACGAATTACGAAGTATATTTCGGGACCGAAATCGTAGTGTGAGGATGATTGCTTGACTAGCTAGGGATCGTGGACGAACGAACGAAAGTAACACGACAAAGTGCCAAATGACGTGGATGTTTGATCGTGAATCTTCAGCTAAACAAGTCGACTTAAATAGTGAGGATCAGCATCCACCAATATTGAGTGATTTATCTACAGCTACAAAGTCGTTTGTTTCCGTAATCAACCATTTTCAGCTAAGTATTGTTTGTGTTGTGCATCTCTTCATTCTGTCCTACTTTAGTGGTATGAAGCAAGGCTGCTGAATGCATATACTTAAAAGATTAGTGAATTTTGATCAATTTATCCCATTAGTTGGAGTATTATTGTAACAACAAAGGGCAAGACGCGGAAGCCAAGTTATATTTTCAAGTGATCAAACCTCTGTTTATAGATCTACAGTTTATATTCGTTAACCAATCACTGAGCGTGTGATTTCAGTTTACATCAAACGATATGAAGTAGAATGTTCAAATGTACATAGCATTCTGTTGCCGATGCAGCATTGAACTGTGGGAAAGCATTCTGTCTCTGACTTCAAATAGAATATTCAAATAGATATATCGTATTGTGTTATTAATACCGAATTGAACTGTGGGAACATGTGAGAATAACATTCCGTCGGTACACCACCACAGTATTATGTTGTGAGGTGTTCAGTGTTAGGGTAGGAAGAGAAATAAGTCAGTCAAGTTGCACTACGGCATTTCTTGCGATATCTGGAAAGCGTGTCCGTTACCTCTTCCAGTATTCATTTGGAAAAGAGTTTGTGGTGATCATTCCGAAACATGCGATTATTCTATGAAGTCACATACTGTTGGTCTCGTATGATATGGACTACATGGATGTGACATATTTTGTTAATAGCCAATGATTGTACAGTCTTTGGTGGTATTGCAAAAAATCCTGTGTCCTGTATTCGCTCATTGTCAGCTTTCCTTTTCTTACATTGGTGTTACGTGTATTTTTATCATATTTAATTCCTGTACTTTTATGAAGTTTGACAACTTCAGGTGATGCACTGTCGTACATTGTACATTGATAAGTTAATTAGCCATTTTCTCAAAAGGTTTTTATTTTTTCTGTGTCTGTAAGCAAATTTAGTACTGTTACACATATTTTTAAACTGAGTATACTTCATATTTTAAAAAGTCAACAGTTTCTCCTAATTGATTACATTTTTGCTTTTTTTAAAAAAATACAGTGATTCCGAATTGGTTATATGCTTTAATGGTGGTAAGGACTGCACAGTATTACTGCATTTAGTCTACGCTGTAGTATGTCGTCGAAATAATACAAGTACTACTGATGCGAAGAGTGAATATAATAATTGCACACGAGATGAAAACTGCATGAAACTTCCAAAGCTTTTATATATTCGTTCACATTCCACTTTTCCAGAAATAGAAATGTTTGTTCAAAAAACAATTGATTTGTATTATTTATCAACAAGTAGGATTTTACGACCAGATTTACAACAATGTGATAGTCATAAAACAGATTTAAGCTCATTGTCTGGGTCTCGTTGCCCATCAGATAATGCTGTAGTTGTATATGAAGGACCTATTAAAGATGTACTTGGAAGATTTTTGCAAGACTATCCCAATATCAAGGGTGCTTTTATGGGAACAAGATATTCAGATCCTGGAGCACGTAAGTGTAATCTTGTAGTCTTAGTTATTTATTATTATTATTATTATTATTATTAGCTGGTTTGTTGTGTGAGAGTAAAGCTTCTCTAATATTTTAACGGTTTTCGCATTCGACATGTATGAGATAAATATCACTGTTGAAAAGTTCTCTTTCCAGTTTATCGATGAATTTGTTTGTCGATTGAACATGTGCATACCATGTTTCGTATATGAAGGTAACGGAAGTGTAGATCTAAGTATATCTTGAGAAACCTATTGCTGAAGGCTCTATGTGTTTTGAGGACCTCTTACTCCACTGAGTGACGCAATGTATGCGGTCGAAGACTATCCTGTCTGCACTGTAACATAAATTTGATTCTGAAACACTAAATCTACTTCAGAAGGTAATAACTTTCAATGTTGACTTCAATTACCCCTGTTTCTTATGGCACTGTATTTGATTCAGTATGCATTTTATTTCAACATAAGTGTCTTAGGAGACAAATAATATTTATTTTCAACTTTGTAATGGAGAATACAGTATTGCTCTCTCTTCTTCATCAACTCCTCATCGGCGGTGACACTTCGTTATAATATTTATTACTTTGGAAGAGCTGTAAATTTCTGCAATGTTAAGACTTCTTTACTGTTTCTAAAAAATACTGTTCAGTAAGAAGCGACTATTATTAGATGATAGATAATAATGTGTTTTTCAACACATTGTTTTCTTTTCTTAAGATAATATGGCTCCTATGAAGATGTCAGATCCAGGTTGGCCTCAAATTCTTCGAATCAATCCACTTTTGAACTGGACTTATTCAGAGATATGGGATTTCCTCCGATCTTTATCACTCCCTTACTGCAGTCTTTATGATAATGGGTAATTACTAGGGGTTTTTTTCCTATTCAATTGAAGTATATGTATCATATATACATGGTTGTAAATAGTCTTGTAATTCCCAATGAAAGGAAAACATTAAGACGTTGTTTTTACTGGCGTTTCACCTTTTAATGCTAATAGTTTTATCAAATTATTAGTAAACCAGAATTTATAAAATCTCAACATGTATATAGTAACTTTACCGTAGTCCTTTCATATGTGGTAATTCTGCGTTGCCCAGTGAATGAATTAGTTAAAATAATAAATAAGTACAGATTGTTCGATTTAATGTATGGGTATGAACTGTAAAAACAGCATGTGTTTACTCAATGAAAAATGCTTGCCACATTTCGTTTAACTATATTAGTTTATGGGAGGAAATTAGATCCGAATCAAATTCTGTTTTGACCCGTCATTTCTATTCAGACAATCTATATTCCATGGAGGATTTTCATCATGAGCTGACATCAGTTAGAGAACCATTGGAAAACCTGGGAGTACTGGACAGCTGTTTCGTCCTAGTTTGGGACTCTTCATCAGTACGCCCCCACAGGGATTCGAACCCAGGACCTTCTGGTTACAAGGCGAGCTCGTAGACCATTGAGCCACTGGGACCCGATCCAATGGTCCTTGAATTCTAACTTCTGCCAATTCACGACATAGCGCGACCATTTCGCAATGTCTTCTTCGATGAGTTACTGCCTCATCTTCAACCTGATGTACCCTACTGGTCACGGCTTCCCACTAGAACCCCAGGTTAACTGCCTGAATGGGGCCAGTCACTAGTGAGCAAAAAAAATCTATATTCCATTTTATTCGAAGTGCTTTTGCTATGAGACGTTCTTTGTGGTTTCTTAATTTTTTCTAAGTGATTTCAGTATTTTAAAATATTGAAAATTATTATGGTAAAATTTATAAAAAACACATGTAAACGAACAATATTGACCAGTGGTGTATAGAAGGTCGGGTGTGAGGACAGGTACTAGCCGATGGCATTGGCTAGTGGTGGGCTTTATCGTGAATCGTCAGAAGTTAGAATTCATGTGCTGGTCATTAAATTGGGTCTCAATGACTGAATGGTCTACGTGTTCTCCTCTTAACCGGAAGGTCCTGGTTTCAAACACTGTTGGCGGGTGCGTACTGATAAAGAGTCTTGAACTAGGGCGAAACAGCCGTCCAGTACTCACAGGTTTTCCAATGGTCTTCTAACCGATGTTAGCTCATGATAAATCCTGTAGCTAATCAAATTCTGGCAAACCAGCACTTGAATATTGTTTTCAATTAGATCTCATCAGGCTTAACTGTAATCTACATAACTTGACAAACGAATATTAAATATGAACCAATCGCAGTGATATGTCAATAGGATGATGTAATGTTCATATAAATTGTACCATTAGTCGTAATAATGATAATAGTGACTCTAAAAATACTCTTTTCGATAACTTATACATCCATAATAATGAAAGAGTGATTGGTATTGACAATATTTGTAGTTTTTTCTTAACATTGACATCATAATTCCAAAAGTTATCTGCAAAGCGACTGTCAATAGATTATAGTTCAAATCATTTGTGTGTATTTGTGTGTCTGGTCGTAATAAGTATAAGTGTAACATCAAATTGAACACCAATATTACACAGTAAGTGATTAAGAATGACAACGAATATATTGTAGCGAATTCTCATGAATCATGTTTATTTTAAATTCTAATCATACTGATTACAAACTTTGTATGGATAAATGGTCATGTGAAGGACGAGGGGAGAGAGAAAATTTGGGGTAGGAGGTTATGGTTGTGTGTATGTTTGTATGTGTGTGTGTGTTAGTGCGTAAATTAACAGTAAAACTTAGCATTGTGTGTAAACTATTGAAATATAATTATAATTTAATATATGTCCAAACCCAGTTCACTTTTAACATTATAATAAAGGCTTTTGTATTTCTCAATGAATGAAAAACAAAACGATATTGTTTTTACCGACGTTTCACTATTTAATGCTAATAGCTTTATCAAAGTATTATTAAACCGGAATTTGCAAAATCTCAGCATAAATATAACAAAGAGTTAAGAAGGGAGGAAATAGACTTAGGTCAAGTTCAAAGGATATATTGAAAGTCAAAATACCAATGAAGATCACTAAACCAAATAACAGAGGTAATAGTACATCTGTTATGGTATCAAAACAAAGTTTACTAACTTGATCATCGTTCGTCAGTATGGGGTCATTTTTCGTTGTCAAGTTGGCCAATTGGTGAAGATAACAAAACCAAGTGTAGATTGTTGGATTTGATAAGTGTGTAAAATTATAAAAGCAGTGTGTGTTTACATAATGAACTTGCTTATCACATTCGTGTTGATTTTGTCACTTCATGAGGGAGAGAGGTGTTGTAACCAGGTCAGATTCTGTTTTAGTCCATCATTCCTATTCAGACAATTTGGATTCCACTTGATATGAAGTACTTCTGATATTAGACGTTCTTTGTGATTTCTGAAGTTTTTCTGGATTATTTCAGTATTGTCAAAATCAATTTTGTGACCTGATTCTATAGTGTGTAGACCTATGGCTGATGATTTTTCAAGTTTTTCTAGTTCAACCGGATTTCTCAGTGGTCGAACAGATGCTCTACGGTGTTCATTTCTTCTGATTTTGATTTCTCGAGATTTTTGTACGATGTATATCGCATCACATTCCAAACACGCATTTTATTTTATAGACACGATTAGATAGAGAATCTTTAAGGATTTGGTCCTTTATATGGACAAGGTTGTTTCGTAGTGTGTCTGATGTTTTAAAGAAAGCTCTATTGTCGAGCAAATTGAGTACTCTTCTGATATCATCTGACATCTCTGCTCTATGTGGAATGACGACTGTCGAGGTCCATGTTTTCGGAATGCGTTTTCGGCCATACTTAATGTCTGTGTTGATTTTGTTGATGAAGTTCCTTGGGTAGTTGTTTCGCTTGAGAGTTTCAGTAATGTTTGACATTTCTTCTATTTCTTTCTCATTCGTTATCTGAGTGTGCTCGTCTCAGAAGACTTGAAACAACTGAAACCTTTGCGCTGATGGGGTGTGATGATTTGAAGTCTAAATATTTATTGGAGTGGGTTTTCTTCCTGAATATGGATATACTAAAATGTCCGTTTTCCCTCCCCTTAACTAGGCAGTCTAGAAATGGTAGTTCACCGACGTCTGATTCTGCTTCCGAAGTAAACTGGATTCTGGGAGATACACGGTTTATTTTCTCCAGGAATGAATATGTTTGAAAAGATGTTATTTTCGAATCTATCCATGAAAAGGTCAGCGACTATTGGGGAGACTGGTGAACCCATAGCAAACACCATTTGTCTGTCTATATAAATAGCTGTCCAGTACTCCCTGATTTTTCAATGGTTCTCTAACTGATATCAACCGGTGGTTTAACCTAAAACAAATGATTCTGTCAATGACAAAGATGAAAAAATGGAGCAATCTCTGATAACAAGAATAATGAAAAAACAACATGGTTAAACAAAGAAATACTTAGGCAGATGTAGTCAATAAAAACCAATGGAAAAAATGGTCTTACTGAGTGATGCTGTATTGTAGGAGAAGTAAATAAACTATGTAATTATGAAATTGTGATAAGATTAAGGGATGAAAAATCATAATCAGTTGGTTAGGTCTAAGGGTCTAAGGGAGAGATAATGGCTGTACGAACTCCTTTGGATGCATAGTTAAGGATTAAGAGTTCGATTGCCTATAGCCTCAGCTCAGTGTAGTAGATGAATACGGGATCCACTGGAAAGATCCGGTGGGATGCTATAAATCTCCTTTAATGCTTTCGTTTTCTCTACCAAATGACCACTATCAACTAAATGTGACAAAAAAGGAGTTACGTATTTTTTTGTCAGTCCTTTGCCAAACCAAAATGGGAAATGTTTAGTAGCACGTTGTCTAAGATGTCTATCAATACGCCGAATATAACTATCTCCTCAGAAGCGGCTGAATTGATAAATACATATAGATATAGCAAAACTATCTAGCTTTTCTCTCGTCTGAGTCCCAATCATTTGTCGACTAGAAAATGGGAAGCATAGGTTTACCGCGTAAAGTGTTCTACGTATGCTTCTGGCTAGTCTCTGCAACAAAATCTCATTTGACAAGTCCCCATTAAATTGTAACTTAATAAATAGTGGTTCCTTCCGTGCAGTCATCGTCTCGTTTCCTAATCAGTTTTTTCATGTTTCTTTATGTAGCTACTCCAAATTTCAATATTATTAAAGTCAATAATGTCTAAATTTTTTTCATACTGTCAGGTTTGAACACTTGTTCTGGAAATCTATATATTTAATTCACACCCGAGTGAAGATTTATGATTATCTATTTAGAGCATATATTGTTTCTGTTTACGTATTTTAACGATATGTTTTGTACATTCAGAAGTAACAATGAATGGAATTGTTATCAGTCTATGAAGGTCGAGTTTAATTGAGCTATCGAATAAAACAAAGACAGATGAAAGTAACCACAGGAAACAGAGTGCAATGGGAGTGTGCTGCGGTGCCCCTATGTTCCACTCGGAATACAAAGAAATATATATAACAACACACTTAAACGAACAATATTGTTTTCAATTAGATCTCATCAGGCTTAACTCTAATATACATAACTTTACAATTAAAAAATTCAAATAATTCAATCACGGTGTTCTGTCTATAGGATAAAAAGATGGTGGATATAAATTGTGCAATTAGTCATAATAATAATAATAATGTTCAAGTGTTGGTTTGTAGGGATTTGGTTGATCGGTTACAGGATTTTCATCATGAGCTGACATTAGTCAGAGAACCATTGTAAAACCTGGGAGTACTGGACAGCTGTTTCGTCCTAGTTTGTGACTCTTCATCAGTACGCACCCACCGGGACTCGAACCCAGGACCTTCTGGTTACAAGGCGAGCTCGTATATCATTAAGCCACTGGGACCCGATCCAATGGCCCATGAGTTCTAACTTCTGTCCAGTACTCCCAGGTTTTACAATGGTTCTCTAACTAATGTCACCTCATGATGAAAATCCTGTGAATAATAATAATGGTTTTATCAATAATAAGGATGAAAAAGTGAGGCAATCTGCGATAACACGAATAATGAAAAACAGCATGATTAAACGAAGAAATGTTCAGGTAGAAGTAGTCGATAAAGGCTAAGAAAACAAAATGTCTTACGAGTTGAGCAAGAAAGATATGTACGGATGACCTCTTACACAAGCAACTTGAATATATTCACGATTCCTTGACGGAGATGGGCTATCCGAGTAGTTTCATAAAGAAACATATGAAAACATCAGAGAGAAAACCTGAGACTATGACTGCACGTAAAAACCTCTATTTATTAAGTTACAATTTAATGGTGACTTATCAAGTGAGATTTTATTCCACAGACTTTCCAGGAGTATACGAAGAACGTTTTACGCAGCACACTTATGTTTGTCATTCTCTAGTGGACAAATGATTGCGACGCAAACGAAGGATAAGCTAGATAGTTTTGCCACATCTGTGTGCATTTATCAATTCAACTGCACCTGCTGTGACAGTTATGTTGGGCGTACTACTAGACAGCTTAGCCAACGTGTTAGTGAACATCTCCCATCGTGGTTTGGCAAAGGACAGACAAAACAATCCGTAGCTCAATTTTGTCACATTTAGTTGATAGTGGTCATGTAGTGGAGAAAACGAGAGCTTTCAAAGTAATTCATCGTATCCCACCGAATCTTTCCAATAGACTTCGTATTCGTCTACTGCACACAGCTGAGGCGATAGACATTCGAACTATTAAACCTAAACTATGCATTCAAAAGAAGTTCGTACAGCCATTATCCCTCCCTTGGCCTATTAAGACATAACCAACTGATGACTTCTACATCACCTCTTACTTATATTTTCAACCCCTCTCTTATCATCCCTTAATCTTATCACATCTTCATTAAAAACGTGTTTCATTTACTTCCCTTACAATCTAGCATTACTTAATCGGTTCATTTGTTTTTCTTAGCCTTTATCGACTACTTCTACCTGAACATTTGTTTGTTTAATCATGCTGTTTTTCATTATTCGTGTTATCACAGATTGCCTCACTTTTTCATCCTTATTATTGATAAAACCATTTTTATTATTATGACTAATTGCACAATTTATATCCACCATCTTATTATCCTATAGACAAAACACCGTGATTGATTTATATTTGAATTTTTTATTTGTAAAGTTATGTATATTAGAGTTAAGCCTGATGAGATCTAATTGAAAACAATATTGTTCGCTTAAATGTGTTGTTCTAAATTTTACTATGGGAATATTATATATATATATATATATATATATATCGGGTTTATTATGTGAGTCAGTACTCTTTTGAAACTTATGTCTCGATAGAGAACTCGAGCCGGTGATTAGGAGTTCATCAAGAAATACATAAGGTTAGAGAATATGAAGCCGTTTATAACTAATTTGTATCATGTTAGCATTCTTGTTATTTCTTCTAAAGAATGAAAAAACTGTTTTCTATACATTATAGATACACATCACTTGGTAGTATGGAAGATACACATCCAAATCCTCAACTAAGATATATTACAGAGACTGGACGCATTGCATATCATCCAGCTTATAAATTACAGGAAGAAAATTGTGAACGTGTCGGTCGTGTGAAAGAAAATAAAACAACGGAATAATTAAAATTACCTTAGTTTAAACTTTTTTTGAATGATTTTGTAACTTATTATCTATTTTGATAGATTTTTCAATTGATGCAAAGAGTCGTTACTTAAATTATACATTTTATGGAAATATGTGTGTGTTTGTTTTTTCTACGTAACAAGTAACACTGAATCAAGTAAAATATGAAGAGAAAGTCAGTCATTGGCATACATTTGGTGACGCGCAGTCGCACAATGAAATGGGATAAGTTGGTGTCTGAATTTTTATCTTTTTGTCTAGACGACTACCACACACACAGTAAAAATGACTTAACGCTTTACCACTGATATGAAAAAATGATGTTATCAATGAAAATGAAAATTGGGAAACAGTAGTACTGTAAAAACGAAATGACCTATGAGGCTCGAAGGCAATGTTTATCAGGGCAAGCGCATTGTAGATACATAAATTTGGTATACGTTATCTTTAAGTCTTTATTTGCACATCATTTGCAAATTGGTCGAATATCACCACAGTCGATAGCTTGTTGGATTCTGTACAGTGTTGTAACGTTCTTCTAACAATTCACTTCTCCGATTACACTCTCCAGTTTACCAAAACATATTGTTACTTTTCTGAATTCGTTTAATGACATACTGCTTATGTAACAACAGAAGGTAAGACACAGAAGCCAAGGTATATATACAAGTTATCAAACCTCTGCTTATATATCTACAGTCTGTATTCGTTAAGCAATCACTGAGCCTGTGATTTCGGTTTACATCAAACGACATGAAGCAGAATGATCAAATATACATAGAATTCTGTTGCTAACGCAGTATATAACCGTGGGAAATGTATTTTGTTACAGGATTTCATCATGAGCTGACATTGGTTAGAGAAACATTGGAATACCATTAAGCCACTGGGATCCGACCCAATGGCCCATGAATTCTAACTTCTGCCAATTCGCGACATAGCGTGACCCCTAGCCAATGTCTTCGGCAAGTTTTTGTCCTCGCACCCGACCTGTTGCACCCTGCTGGTCACGACTTCTCACTTCCCCTTGTAACCAGAAGGTCCTTGGTTCGAACACTGGTGGGTGCGTACTGATGAATAGTCCCAAACTAGGACGAAACAGCTGTCTAGTACTCCCAGGTTTTCCAATGGTTCTGTAACCAATGTCAGCTTATGATGAAATCCTGTAACCGACCAACCAAATCCCTACAAACCAACACTTAAATGTATTTTGTCTCTGACTTCAAATAGATATATCGTATTCTGTTGTTAATGCCGAATTGAAGTGTGGTAATATGTGAGAATAATATCCCGTTGGCACAGCCTGTCTGTATCACACCACCAAAGTTATATCTGATTATAAATAGCGCTCACCACAGTACTATAAAAAACAAAGTGATTATAAGCAGTATATTTGGCTCGAAACATCTTCGACAACTGACTGTCTGTGAATATGAGTTGTATGAAGTAAAAATGTATGTTGCTACAATGCCTAGAGTTCTTACCCTTACAAATTTTTGATATTACAGATGTATAAATGCTGTGCTAACATTGGGTAATGATGTCATCTACTCTTTTTCAAAGGTATTTATACTTTATACAAGGATATTTCTTAAGAGATTGTTCTGATAATTCGTTATTTTCGCATACTCAAAGATATTCCTCAACCATTTCTTTTATTCCTTTACGTTCCCAATGGAACATTGGGCTTCAAGCTAGAGGTTTGAAGTTTTGGTAGCAGTGGTGTTTATTTTTATGGGATGGGATTGCTAACCTCACGCCCCACCAACCTTCCCTCTTTACCAGTCCTATTACTGACTTAGCGAGGTAAAGGAGTGCGTCGGTGGCCGGGGATCGAACCCTGACCACCTGTGTGGTTGGCGAGCATTCTACTCCTGTGCCACTGACGCACTTTTCATCAACTATGCTAATCATTTAATTGAATAGTTACCCTGTAATCTGATATTCACTCACCTAAATTACAATGATCTTCACCACTTGCATATAGGGAGACAGTCTTGTTCACTGTCTTAGGCAGATATCATTGTACAAGATGATTTTATTCTCTCCTATCTTGTTTTCACGCAGTATATTTCAAAGCGCAGGATAATTGCACTTGTTTTAGGTATTTGTGTAAACGACAGTGGGATATAACAGTGTAAAAATTTTGCTGAATTGATTAAATCAAAGCCCAAATAAGAGATGACGTCAATAAAGGGAAGTAAAAGTACACCGTGAATTATGTAGATAAAAATCCATACATTTGTAAGTGAAAGGATGTATTGTACTTTTATTTGAACTAAGATACCATAAATGTTTAAGAAAGATATTACCACTCACTGTGATCACGTGAAACTTTGACCAAAGGTTTCAGATAGATCGAATTTATGATGATTTTGTAATTGAAATGTGAACGACAACCAATGCCATGATAATAGTAGTGCATCAAGTGACAGGTTATATATATACACTATTATTAAACTATAGCACGTATAACTAAGTAGTTATCTATAAAGTTGTTTCTAAATTTAATCTCAACAGAATAAAACAATGACTACAGAGTTATTGGTCTCTCTGATGATAAGAGACACTTTCATGAAATCATTTTATTTTATATTACACAAATGAAACGAGAGATTTTAAAAAAACCTAAATTCATACTTGCGGATGCAACCAATACATTTAAAAGTATTGTCAGGTGCATTGTATATTCTTGAAAAAACAACAACAAAATAACCGAAAATTGTACAATCAACTGCTGGTTCTTATGTTATCACATCATTAGAAAATAAGTGTCATTGGAATTTTGATAGGATCACAGGGGCTGGAGGTGGGGTAGTAATCCCTTTTTAAAGATCACAAAACTTATGACGTATTAGGGTAAATAAGTATTCATTAAATTTATTCATTTTGGAACTGAATTAATAAAGGTTCAGTGGGATATTAAGCCTCCTTCATGCAGTAATATATCTTGAAGTCCATACTGACATTATTGAAATATATAGACAAGGCTCGGTCTTAGATCCTTTTCTGAAACTTTTTTATCACTGAATATTCCGAATACTGTTATTTGCTTATAAAACGATCTTACAGTTGCACATCCCTACTTCTTCGTCCGATGTGTATTCCATTTACACTTATTTGTAAGTTGATGAATGGTATTTCTTGGTCGTCTAACCTATTTAAATAATCTCTAAATTTCTAAGTAGAATACATTCCTGCTTATTTACTCTCGCCCGTAATTTTGAAATCCAAATATATGCTAACCGTTATCAGACTTCAGAGTTAATTAGAACAGACCAGGCAACTTGTGTTGATTCTTGAAATACACACCATTTTTCTTCTGCAAAACATTCATTACAGGAGCTTATATTAATAGCAATGGTAAGAGGATAAATGTTTCGTACTTTGTTTGACTACAGCATCCAGACTTTTGTATGATTATCCATAAGATAATCACTCCTCGAAGAAGTAAATTTACTGGAAAGAATAATTCTTAAATTGTTATTTATAATACCATATGGCCGAAGAAATGATACCACTCCTTTTCCAGCAATATGATAAGAAAATGCTTACTTGTTATAAACGCTAGTCGTAGTGAAGGTGAGAAAACCTCAAAGTATCAATGCGTCTCATGTGTTTCCTTCTTCAGGTAAAAACTTAATCCCACTATATAATATCCAAGGTAAGGCTTTACACCTCAACATCTCTTCCTTGAAACACTTAAAAGCTGTTCTATGTGACATAACGTAATCACTTTCAAATTATACCCAGGGATAACTTTCTTAACTCTTCAGGATAAGATAACGTTGACTAACCCAATGAATACTGGTAAAACCGTCCTCGAAAAGTATACATTAGTATACTCTCTCTGAAATTCATTTCCGTACTCCAGTATCTAGACCCTTCTGTCAATTTATTTAAGTGACTGTTTTTCTTTGTTGTCATTAATATACAGTAGGAGCAGAAGAGATAACTCTCACTCTACTCTTGCATGTTGAAATCATTGATTTATCTCTACACGCCAGTACATGATGTCTAAGTAAAATCAGCAAACACCTACTTCTGTGGTGAGAGCTGTCTACTAGCCAAATCGGTAGACAGTAATTTACGTCAATATTTACGTTCCCAAGATTTGACGTGAGAAACAACCAATCGGAAGACTGTGTTTGTTTGTTTACATATCCATAGTAATGTACATGAAAACATATATAAATATGCGTTGATTTCCTTAATAAATGATCTGTTGCCTGACTCTTGCCTTCTGTCGTTACACTTCAGTATTATCTTGATAGAATTAAAATTCACTGCAAAGGAGTGTCCGGCTAGGAATTCATGTACCTCTTGCGCCAATAAAATATTTCAGTATGGTTTGGTAATTTATTTGTAATTATTCAAAAAGACTGATTAATGAACAAATAATATTATTCTCGATAACTTCATCAGTTACTACAGTTATATAACCATAATGGTTAGAGAATAATTGACCTTGATAACGTTAGTGCTTTTTTTAAATACCATCGAAATTCCAAGAGATATATGCGAATAGATTGTTAAGAGATTACAGTTCAAAACACGTACATGTGATAACATGCATAAATATGACACTAAATTTCAAAAGAACGTGGTCACGAATAGCAATGAATATGTAGTCATAACTGCTCATGACTAATTAATGTTCACAATGTATTTTATTCAGAATGATTCTTAACTTCGTATGAATGAATAATAATAATATGAAAAACGGCGAGACAATGGGACAGGAAGTTGTATGTTCGTGTCAGTGTGTAAGCGAATAATCCAGGGCTAACATTGGTTAGAGAACCATTTGGAAACCTGGGAGTACTGGACAGCTGTTTCGTCCTAGTCTGGGGCTTTTCAACAGTTGCCGTATATCGTGAATTGGCAGAAGTTAGAATTCATGGGCCATAGGATCGGGTCCCAGTGGCTTAATGGTCTACGAGCTCGCCTTGTAACCAGAAGGTCCTGGGTTCGGACTCCGGTGGGTGCGTACTGC